GGAAGGAAGGAAGGAAGGAAGGAAGGAAGGAAGGAAGGAAGGAAGGAGTTTCTAAATGTTTCAGGCCAGTTCAATAACAACCAAATCATTCTAGTCAATCAAAACCTAGAGTTTACACTGGGCCTGCTACACCAAGTTAAATGAAGAAATGTTGGCAAATTCCTGGAAGCTTAGCAGACAAATCAAGCCATCAACAGGCACATAGAGATAAACAACATTTGCACACCATTGTAAATTGTCAAACAATTCAAGATGGCCACCGCAACCATTCAATCAAAGCCCCGCCCCTGTTTCCAACAAGTGTGGCGTAATTGTTACAACAACCATTTTGATTTTTTTCAATTCCTCCCCCCCCCCCCAAATTTGCAAACACCCCTAACTGTTGCCCCAAACGGGGTATGTTTCCTGCGATGGGAAATACATACAAATATTAGTGTAAGCCAAGGGTCCCCAAACCTGACCACTTTAAGGCTTGTGGACTTTAACTCCCAGAATTCTCCTCTCCAGCTATGGCTGGAGAATTCTGGGAGTTGAAATCCACAAGTCTTAAAGTTGCCAAGTTTGGGGGCCTCTGGTTGTGAGCCTTAAAAGAGGCTGTACATAGTTGTTGTTGTTTTTCTTTTCATGTGGCAGAATCCCTAATTTGGTCTCCAAATCCAAGATACAATCCTGGCTCCTGCATTTGTCATCCCCGTGCTATCCACCCAACCATCAAGGGCAGCACCTTCTTGGTGACCTATACAAATGCTAGTCCAGTAATAAAACCACCAGCAGTTTTGGTGTTATGAAAATTGGGTGGACCAATATTTTGGGTGGACCAGACAGTAAGAATGATTAACTAGTGGAATAGCTTGCCTCCTGGAGGTGTAGCTGCTCCATCAGTGGAGGTTTTCAAGAAGAGGCTGGACAATCTTTCCTCTGGGATAGTATAAGGACTTCTGCCTTGGGCAGAGGTTTGGACAAGAAGACCTCTAAAGTCCCTTCCGGCCCTAGTATTATATGATTCTATGAAAATTATCTTCTAGCTTGAGATGGACATCTCACTGTGATCCATTACAGATTAACAGAGTCGGAAGGGACCTTGTAGGTCATCTAGTCCAACCCCCCCACCCAAGCAGGAAACCCTACACCATTTCTGACAGATGGCAGTCCAGTCTATTCTTGAAAGCTTCCAGGGATGAAGCTCCCACAACTTCTGAAGGCAACTTCCATTCCATGGGTGGATTGTTCTCCCTGTCAGGAAATTCTTCCTTATTTCCAGGTTGAATCTCTCCTTGATTAGTTTCCGTCCATTGTTCCTTGTCTGGACTTCGGGTGCTTTGGAAAGTAGGTTGACCCCTTCCTCTCTGTGGGAGCCCCTCAAATATTGGAAGGCTGCTATCATGCCTCCCCTGGTCCTTCTCTTCACTAGACTAGCCAGGCCCAGTTCCTGCAACCATTCATCGTATGTAGTGGTGGGATTCAACTGGTGTAACAACCGGTTCGGTGAGCACACGTGGTGCATTTGAAAACAGCTCTAAGACTTACCTTACCTTCGGCCCCGGTGAGTAAAACAGCTGAAGCGTGGCACTCGGTTCTTCCATGCCTATCAGCTGAGCTTCAAACAAAGAAAATATAAGACAGGCTAGGGAAGAATATAGGAAAGAAAATATAGGACAGACTAGGGCAGGTGTGGGTGGACGAGGCCGACTCATCGCCAGAACAACCAGTTCACTCGAACCAGTCTAAACCAGTTGAATCTCACCCCGACCATATGTTTTACTCCCTCCTGACAACACCCCTTCCTTCTCTCCTCTGTAAGAATACCTTCAGCAGAGGAACTATCCACTTCAATGACCCTCTGATGGTCCATCTGGCGTATTCCTCCACCGCCCCAAAATCTTAACTTTTCCATGGCTTGCTTCTCATCCTCCCTCTCGGCCAACTTTCAGCTGAGGCGAACGCTCGACCCCATTCCATTCCCAACGCTGCTCACTCAAACCTGCCATGACATTCTCGGACGCTGGAAGTTTCCTGCATCGAGCGCTGGGCGGGGGAGGGGGCAGCTCCTTGCCCGCCCGTTCCATGTTCATCCTTGAAGTGATCTAGCATGGGATGTTCCCGTCACCCCGCTTCAGCTGGTTAAATCCTGCACCTTCCTTGTGTTTTGACAGGCTTTGTGAGTTTTGACAATCCTGCTAGCGCCCAAGCGGCCATTCAGGCCATGAATGGATTCCAGATTGGGATGAAGAGGCTGAAAGTCCAGCTGAAAAGGCCAAAGGATGCTAACCGTCCTTATTGAAGAACGGTGGGAAACACTGGATAAGCAAGGTCTAGCACAGGTAACTGCTGGGGGTTGGCAAGGAACATCACCTGTTGTCCCGTAAGTGTCTCCTGTGTTGTGGACACTAATTGACTTTTAACCTCTTTAAAATTCTACCTTTTCCTTCTAGAATCCTTTCTGAAGCACCTCAAGGACTTGGCACTACAGGGTTGAGACATGGCAGTGGGTTATAGTGGGGGAGATACGAGGTTGAACTGGTTTTTTTTTAATTTATTTGTTTGTTTTTTGTTGTTATTGTTTGTTTATTAAATTACTATGCTGCCCAACTCCCCTACAAGAACATTCGGGGCAGCTTCCAAACTATAGAAGGCAAAAACAAAGTCATCAATAGATTAAAATGAGCCACTATGAAAAGGCTATTAAAAACAGATGCCTACAAGGGTTAAGAGATGGATGGGACAATCTGTCTTCTTGTCCCATCAGCCACCTCCAGTGGTAAGGTCTCCTCATTCCATCAGCCACCTCCCATGGTGAGGTCTTCTTGTCCCATCAGCCACCTCCAGTGGTGAGGTCTCCTGATCCCATCAGCCACCTCCAGTGGTGAGGTCTTCTCGTCCCATCAGCCAC